AGTTCCACCAGGTGAACGAAAGTGTGTAGGGGCCCGTCGGCACCGCAATCATGAAGTTTGTAATGCCGCGAAAAGTGTTTTTGGCGTTTATGATGATGTGCATCATCTTCATCATCCCGAGTATCACGGAACGCGACAACACAGGCATGAGCATGTTATTCGTCGTCCTGTTCTTCGAGTCCATCATCTTCCCCACCATTGTGGCGCTGGGAATGCGTGGCCTAGGTAAGTATAGCAAGAGGGGCAGCGGCTTTATCGTCGGTGGTGTGGCGGGAGGAGCCGTTGTCCCTCCGCTGTTGTTTGCCGCGGCAGATTCGCAGGGAGCTACGAACTATGTAACTGGGAATGCGCCTACGGCCATGGCCATGACGGTCCCGTTGGCATTCTTTCTCGCGGCGTGTACATATCCCATTTGCGTCAATTTTGTGCCGGCGTATAGGGATGTGGCGGATAAGTTTAGTACGGCGGAGATTGGAATTGTGAATACGCATGCGGATGATTTGGAGGGCCAGGGGGTGAAGAAGGATGGGGAGTTGCAGGAGGAGGTTAAGGCTTAGGGTTCAGGGACGAAGTCGAAGAAGTGAGGTACCTCTTGTTTGCTGATATATATAGAGACTTTTGCGAAACGAAATCGGGCTGATGATGTTCGGTTGCGCATGAATTTATATCCAAGTCGGCAGCTACCACTGGCAATGTTTTTGCACGTAGCATTCTGAACATCAAACTATGGAGTCATGATGTATGCTCATAACCTCATTTCAGGACCTTATCCGGAAACTGTGCTTGATCACAGTACAGTCAATAAGCCTTGGTATGGTGCTCTCAACCCCTAATCTCCCTTATTTTTAAACTCCAATCCAGCCTCCTTCCTCACGACGCCATACACACTTGGAATATCCCCCCGCTCCCCCAATTCACTCTTTACGCCATCCAACCGCCCCTGTGCCAGTTTCAACATCTTGACGGCCTCTCCCGCCCCACTACTCTCTGCAAGACTAGCAGCATGCCTCGCATCCTTCCTTGCCAAATCCACAGCAAAGAGCGGCTCCTCCCTCTTGTAATAATCGCCTTCGATCATGCGCTGCGAATACGCGGTATACGGCCCGGGAAACATGGCCGAGATGAAAGCATGCAGGTTGTCGGTCCCAAGGCCCGATTTCTCCGCTAGAACGTGGCCCTCGGAGAGCTGGGAGATGAGATTGAGGATGAAGGTGTTTCCAATCACTTTGAGGAGTGTTGCGTTTCCTGGGGGTTGGGAGGAGAAGTCGATGTTTGCGCGGCCCATGACGTTGGTTGTGTAGGGGAGGATCTTTTGGATTGAGGGCGCGGGGCCAGCGAGCACACAGACGAGAGAGCCGGAATCTGCCATTGCGGGGGCACCGAAGACAGGCATGGCGACAAAGGAGGCGTTGTTCTTTGTTATCTTGTTGTCGAGGGCGTTGGTGGTGTCCGGGTGGATGGTGGAGCAGTCTACGATTAGTTTGCCTGCGATGTTGGATTCGAGGATTGTGTCCACCGTGGAGGAAACGGTGGCGTCGTCGCTAAGACACATGAAGATTATGTCGGCGTCTTTGACTGCATCTTGGATGGTCGATGCAACCTTTGTCTTGGAGGATCCGAGTTTGGCGGAGAGATCATCTGAGCGAGATAGGGTGCGATTGTAGAGGATGAGGGGCTTGTCTAGGTTGCCCTTTTCAACGAGGTTCTGTTTTGGTAAGATGTTGTTTGATAATTGTCAAGTTGTGGACTTGAGTACCTTGCACATTCCCTGAAAATTGGTCAGTGGATGTTCAATCAGTTCTCTATTGATTGAATGTACAGTACCCTTCCCATGTTACCAAGACCAATCCATGCGAGTTGTGGAGCCATGCTGATCGTGTATGGTATGTGTGTGGCTATAGCCTATCCGAATGAAGGAAGCATTGGACTAAGAGAGTACCTAGACGCCAATGCCAGAGCTAATACCTATATAAATACATATCAGCCTAAAAGGTTCCCCAGCTTCACATCGATAGTACCGTACCTATAGTAGTTTGTCCAGTGCTTGCTAAGACTTCCCCTCTGGTGGAGACAGACAGGACAGACATGGAGATAGGCGTAAGAGGCGGGCCGATGTCGGTTAGCGGCTACCAATGACGTCTAGTGCCCGTACCGGTAGTGGGGAACTGTGAACGTCAGAAATTCCTCAGTGCGGATGCGCATCAAGCTTTGGTCGAAAAAGTTCAGTCAGACTCGAGAAGGAATGTATAGAGCTTGCTTTGGTATGTGTTCTTGCATTAGCACGGTAGCATGAAGCATGTTCAGTTGGAGCAAAGCCCCCGCGAGGGGCTTGGGGAAGGCCACGCAGATTGTACGTTGTACCTAGTGACTCACGTCGTGCGTGAAAGCTGGGATTAGGACGCAGTCAATGTTGACGGTGATGATAGCTCCCCAAATTCGATAGCACGAAGCAGTCGATTGCGACAAATACAACGGCCAACTTTACGACATGTCCTCACCTGGAGACACTGCACACACGACAAGCGTCGAGTGCAGCAAAAGAGCGAAAGCGCACCGAGCGCGAGCACCTGACGCGTCTTCTCAAGGAATCACCTGGCAATCGCGATGCGAGGAACTTTTTCAAGCAATTTGAACCCCCACAGGAGACGAAGTCAATCCCTGCTGCAGCCGCAAAGCCTGCTACAGGCGCTGTTGGGCAGAATGATACAGGCGCAGTGCGCTCCGGCGTAAATCTAGGCGTACTCTACCAACCTACAGTCTTCACCAGAGAGCCCATACCGGAGGAAAAGTACCAGGAGGAAGAGCCCGAGACGCCACTTCATCTGGCGCTCATCAAGCTGCGACAGCCACAGACGCTCGACGATCGCACTCTAGGAGACATTGCCTTGACCCTCAGCCAAATGGCGCAACTTGGTATGAGCACTGCAGTTGTGCTGGACTGTGATGAGGAAGCTGTTATGCCAAACGCCGTCTTGGACCCAGAGTTTGCAGACTTGGTCGACGAGCAAGCAGAACGCCTGGTAGCAGCGCTGGAACGACACCATGAGCCCGGAGCACTGCTTGTTCAGCACGCACTGAGCCACACACATCTGACAAACGAGGCACCGAGTACAGCCTCAGCTCGAGGAGGAGTGACAGTTCAAAATGGCTTTCTGTTGTTTCCACCGATTGACGACGGAATCATCCCAGTCATTACCCCATTTGCTTTCAATGACACCTACAAGCGTATTAGGGTGCAAGCAGATGATGTCTTACTTGCCTTGATCAGAGAGCTTGCGGGTATCACTGACCAAGCGAATGGCGGACCAGTTCAAGAGCTTCCCAGCAGCAAACACAGCAATCACAATGAGGCCAACAAAACACGTATTCTCGACCGGATCATCATTCTCGACCCTCTTGGTGGCATACCATCGGAAAGCCGAGCCGATGGTGCGCACGTCTTTGTCAACCTGGAAGCCGAGTATCGTGACATCAGGAAAGATCTACAGCGTCTTACGCTGACAGCTCCCGGGAACGACAGCTTCGGTAACCCACTGTCACTAGGTCGCGGTACTCGCTTATCGAAGTGCGTGGAGAAGGATATGGCATCACTGTCCCAATCAAATTTACGACAGCTCGATGGTTCGGCACCTGCACGACATTTGAAGAACCTTGATGTCGTGGAGCGAGGCTTGAAACTGCTTTCACCATCATCATCAGGCCTCATACTCACTCCTCTCGACGCTGCAACAAAAGCGATTCCAGACGATGAGCAAAAGACGCCTGCAAAGAACCCACTGCTTCACAATCTGCTAACAGACAAGCCCATGATCTCGTCCTCACTTCCCACATCGCCAGCGACTCGGTTTGTCGGTTCAGCGTTGCCCAAGCCTGCCACTTTTCTCAAGAAAGGTATCCCCTTGACCATGATACCTGATCCGCGCGTTACGGGAGCATGGCAACCACCTTCTTCATCAAACCCTAGTATAGAACTAGCCAATGATCCACGCATCAACTTCCCCAAACTCGTTGAACTCATTAACGACTCCTTCCGTCGCAAACTCGATGCGAAACACTATCTTGAACGCATACACGGCCGCGTTGCTGGCATCATCATTGCAGGGGACTATGAAGGTGGCGCCATATGCACTTGGGAAACCCCATCTTCGCTTCGTGGTATGGCGGGCCCAGATGGTGCTACGCCAGACTCGCCATACTGGATTCCTTATCTCGATAAATTTGCTGTTCTCACATCATCCCAAGGTTCAGGCGGCGTATCCGACATCGTCTGGGCTGCATTGACACGCACATGTTTTCCTGACGGTGTGGTGTGGAGAAGCCGCACAAGTAACCCCGTGAATAAGTGGTATCAGGAGCGAAGCAAGGGGATGTGGAATCTCCCTGGAAATCAATGGACGATGTTTTGGACCATAGAGGGTGTGCATCAGCGATGGGACACTGAGCAGTGGGGCACGGGCACAAAGAAGGATTTAACGAAATGGGAGGCGTACATTGATGTGTGCAGTGGAATACAACCTAGTTGGGCGGATGGTAATCAAAGACTCGATTAATTAAAAGATATAATTATCAGACTGTTGGAAAGCCGATGCATCGATACCCCTCGTCTTGTCACTTGAAACACCCTCCAACGATCATGCGTTTATCCATCGCTGCTCCAAAGGATGCTTCCAACTTCAAGTTGGTATTGCTTATGTTTCCCAGCCAAAGAAGCAGTGAATGTATGACTTTGAATACCGACATAGCCTGTCCGACTCTCCTTCCGGCCAATTCTTCCCACATATCCAGCGCTTTGGTCTCAAAATATATAATGTTGCTACCAAAGTAAAAGAAAGTTTCCCTTTGATGCATCTCTGGAAAGATTCAGCAGTCCTTTTAATAGGCGTAGTAAGTGGTAAGTGGTCTTGCCAGTACCGAACTCACCAAGTGCGGAACGGCGTCATTTTATGGTACACGTTCTTGACTCAGTGCGTATTTCAATGGATCCAGGAGCGTTGCTGCGGGGAAGTTGATCAACCGTATGCCCTTGTAAAACCTGGGCTTGTTTGGGAGAGTTTCGTTCTTTTAAAAGATCATACCGAATCTGCTTATTATCGTCTGTGTAAGGGATATCCAAACGATAGATGCTGTTGATATATTTGAGCCGTTTCTTAAACAAGGATTAGAAAATTCCCCGAAAATATAAGTGTTCAGGACTGGCAACTGTCACGGAATGTTTGTATGAGATTTACTTTCCCACCTAGTATACATGGATACTGAAATTCCAGACTTCCCTGGTTAAGATCGTCTTGCTATGCAATAAGCATCAAGCTGGAAGAGGCTATATTGATATGTAAGCCAATGGTATTGGTCCTTGAAACCATACCAGGTTAGCCATAGCTAACATTAGAGAAGTCAAAGTTAATGATGAGCAGTTAAGAATGTATTTCTCTGAGCTATCGATCAAAAACCCCTGACTCCTGAAATGCCCCTCGCCCTGCCGGTGAAAGCTTTGCCGCGGAAAGGTGTCCAAGTCCCAGGCCCGGATGCAAAGAGCGTTCTTGGCGGCTGACGAATGCTCAAGAGCGTAATTGCGAGATGCTATACAATAGCTCTTGAAGAAGCTAGGCATCGGGAGTTGCATAGGCCTGGGAGTCTACCTTTCCAAGCTCCACATTGATCATCTCATTGCTCATGGCTGGTATCTCGTGGCAGAAGAAGCCTTGCAAGGTCCTCTAGCTTGATCTGGATTCCCTCACCGTCTATCTAATACTTCCTTGCTCTTGCTCTTCGTTGGCTGGACAGTTCTCGTAATCCACCGTGTCCATAGTGGCCGATCCAAGGGCTTCTCGGTGTTATTGTACAGCAGTGCTAAAATCTTGCAGCACTTTGGTATGTGAACGACTTCGTATGCCGTTGAAATCCGTCCCCACGTAGTTTGGTCCTCGTAGCTAAAGATGCACCCCCAACTTCCCCAGGCCAGTGAAAGCTCCACTATTGCGCAAAGCCGAGTCTGGGGTTACGTGTGATGGAGAATGAGATACACAGTACTCTGCTTCAGCCGATGCTACCCGTATCACAGAATCTCGAGAGTTTGGGGTGAGCGGACAGTCCAACCAATCAAGGCGCAGTCTTGCGTGGCTAGCTCTGTTACACTTGCTGCTTGTTCAGCCCTCCGACGTCGGTCGGTCGTTTAATCCCTGTTAATAGCGTCGGCGTCATCGCGACTTTACTTGCTGCGTGTTTTTGCGCGACAACATGTTGTATAAGTTGAGGGCGTCTTTCAGCTGTTCTATATCAATTCCCCAAGTAGGGCCCCACAGAAGAGAAGAAGCGGCTCTCGGCTACCTACAGGATTGAAAATTAACAACCGGAGAGGTGAAGGACGTCGAAGGGAGGACAACAGTACTAAAGAGCAGGAACAGGGAAAAGCAAAACAAGAAACAAATAAACCCTACATGCAGCAGAGAACAAGGGAATTTGGAAATCATTGGAGGAAGTTGTCACGGGGAGAAGACGAGAGAGTGTGCCTTGAATCGTGGATTGTTGCTATCTTACAACAAATACTTAGGACACCATCCAATCCCATCCCACTCAAACCCTTCGACCAATCTCAAACACTGGCTCGATAGCAAGACAACGACATAAGAACTGTTCCTTGCGACTCCCATAAACACCCACAATGGATCTACCAAAAGAAGTACTACCCCCGTCACCCAAATTGCAACCCAAGTACAACACCCATAAACTTGGGCTGAGAGTTGGCGTCGATGCCATGGCTGCAGGTGCGGCCGGCGTTCTCGTAGCACCGGTCATTACGATGATAGACAAGGGTATCATGCAGAATGCGAGTGGTGCAAACACACTAGGCGGCAGTCTGCAAAAGAGTGCTGCGGAGATGCTGAGGAGACCGCTGAAGTTTGTCGGGAGCAGACCGTTCCTGTTGGTTTTTGTACGTTGTCCTACCTTTACAACTATAACCTCTCCATCTCTCTTCATCTGCCCCTCTCTATCTATAGTACTCTTCCCCACTAACAAAAAACCCACTCAAATCTCCAGACCCTCTACTTCGGGACCTACATGACCGCAAACACAACTGACACAATCTCCACCACCCTAAACTCGACCCCCCTTGATACAACCACATCCGGAACCTCCAAATTCCTCGCCACAAGCACCGCAAATCTCTCCCTCTGCCTCTTCAAAGACGCCCAATTCACCAAACTCTTCGCCGCCGCAAACACGCCCGTCCGGCCCGTCCCCCTCCCCACTTTCGCCCTCTTCACCATCCGCGACGCCCTCACCATCTTTGCCTCTTTCAACCTGCCGCCCCGTCTCGCCCCGCACTTCTCCGATGCCATGGGCGCTGAAATCCAGCGGAATTGGATCACTGCGCCTAGTGCGGCACAATTCGTTACCCCGGCTGCCGTGCAGCTGTTTTCGACGCCGCTGCACCTCTTGGGGCTGGACTTGTATAACAGGCCGCAGGTGAGTGCGGGGGACAGGGTGGCGCGTGTGCTGAGGGATTGGGGGAAGAGTGCGCTTGCGAGGGTGGGGAGGATTGTACCCGCGTTTGGGGTGGGTGGCGTGGTCAATATGAAGGTTCGGGGGTGGGGGATGAGGAATTTGCAGGAAAGGAGTTGAGGGATCTGGGCTGTCTGTGTATCAAAAAGCGAGCAAATCTTTTGTGGATTCTTTGAAAACAAAATCATCCAAATTGGGGATAAATGGACAATGTGAATGATCTTCTTAGTCATGATTATCTTGTCCACAGAGATAGATACAGACACATAGACACACACACATATATATATTGGAACAGGGTGAAAGCCCGGTAATACTGCCTACTTCCTAACATGGTCCCTTCTCCTGATCTCCTTCCTCCCATCCTAGCCCCCAGCGCCTCCTAGCCAACCAAATAAGCATCCATCCGCCCATCCGCCGATCAATTCCATTGTATAGCCGTCAGATCCCATGAGGTCCCCCCCCAAAACCAAACAACCTTTCCATCGAGTCAAGTGAACAGATTACACAAACAAGCCTCACTGCTCCTCATAATCAACCACCTCCTCCTAAAACGCCTGGATATAGAATTTCTCTCCGCTCCGGAGAACAAGCTCTGCCACCCCAATTGCCTTTTCCCCTCGAAAACGCCCAAAAAGAAAATCGATGAAGCGCATGTAATGAATTTCGCACCACCTGAAACCAAATGGGAAAAAAACATGCCATGTATGAAGAGAAAGAAGAAGGAAGAAGGAAGAACAAGAACAAGTAGTTTTAAAGGAAGAAAGGAGATACTTACTGATCCCGCCGAGTAGTGACACTCAACGTCAGCTTTGGATTCCTCTCTACCGCAATCGCCAGATCCTCATCATCTGCAATGGGATAAAAGTATCCTTCCTGCTCATCCCTATACTCGACAGTGAGCTCCTCTTCCTCTTCGCCGGGACGTTCCATCTTGCGCCTTTCCACTAGTTTCTTATACAAGTCTGCGAACTTGAGGGATAGGGGCATCCGGATCACCACGCAATTGTCTTCCTCAAACCATACTTTGATCTTGAGTGCCGAGGAAGTGCCCGTGTTGGTCGCACTAGTGGCCGTGGATGCAGAGCTGTGGGCGTGGTTCATGGGTGGAGGATTCAACGAGGTGCTGTAGGCTTGAGAGGCTGTAGACTGGCCGCGTTGATGCGAGGCAGAGGTCGAGCCGGTAGAGTAGGTGGTCACAGGTGTGGTCGCCTGGAGCTGGTCGGCCGAAGACTGACGACTGGTGCCCTGTGAGCCTTCAGAGGATGGGTGCGATTGTTGGCTGTTGCGGTATTCTTCAGCAGCTATGACGTCGGGGTCGATTTCATAGTCGCCTTGGCGAGGGGCGAAGAAGCCCTTGACAAGGGGGCCGTTGGTGATGTGCGGGCCCAGACGGAGGAGGTTCTTGATGTATTCGTCGAGGTTGGCGCGTCGCCCATTCGAGATGTTGTCTGTGACGTATGTGACTGGACCAGGCATGAAGGGAAGCGTTCGTTCGCTGGAGCCGCTTGTGCCAGCTTCGACGGGATAGTTTGCAATGAGTTGGATTTGTAGGTCGTAAAAGTCCTGATACAGACGCTGCAATTCCCAGTGTCGGCCGTCCTCCATCTGGCACTCAATGATGAACCAAAAGATGTCGTCGGCGAAGCAGTACCGTGGTACCGTGGCTTTGACGGGCGCGAGTAGATTGCCGGAATTGCGGTATTGGCCTCGTGGGGGAGCTTGAGCCAGGGAGGTGTTGCGCGAGTGGGATACCTGGTCGGCTGTAAGCAGGTTTAGGTCAGCGATGGGGCAATGGGACTCACCGATGCAGCCTTGGCATGCCCGCCATTTTGACTCTTGATGCTCATGCGCTCCATGCCTGCCTGGAGAGACTGACCAGAGTTTGTTTCCAGCTTGCCGAGTGGGATGCTGCCATTCTTGTAATCTGCCGCCATCTTCTTCCATTCCTCGACCTTGGGCACGCCCGCAGCAGTGACTGCTGCTTGTGTGTTGCCGACGGCCTGGCCAGTGGTCATGTCGCGAATCTCGATGAAGGAGACGGGGATGAGACCAGGACCGCCAAGGCGGGTGATTGGTTTGGCAACGAACCACTCTGGGTTCGACTGCGCAATGACAATGATGGCCTCGCCTTCCTTGGCCTCGAGCTCATCAGGGCGCTCTGCCTTGAAGTCGTACATGACTATGCCGTAGACCATGGCACCTGTCTTGCCGGAGCGCGACAGGCGCATTGAGGGCGACGTCATTTCTCCGGCGGGGTTGTTGGGGCTGGCGATGCGCTCTTGGTAGCCCGAGTCGTGCGGCTGCTGCTGTTGGTATTGGTGTTGTTGCGACGGTTGAGGCGGCTGCGGGGGTTGTGGACTCGAGGAGCGCGGAGGTGCTGAGCCGCCGCTGTCGCGCACTGTCTTGCCTACGCCCTCAAAGTAGGAGACGGGGACAAGGCCGCGGGTGCCGTGCAAGGGATTGCAGGCCTCGTACCAGTCGCTGTCGTTTTCGCGGCCGACGACGTGCAGAAAATCGCCCTGGGAGAAGCTGAGGTAGCCGGAGTCAGGGCTGTCGTCGGGGGCCTTGTAGTCGTAGAGGGCTTTTATGACCTGCACAAACACGGGCAGCGTTGTTAGCTCGACGCTCAGGCAGTCCCGCTCGGGAAGTGGGTTGCCGGGGCAGGAGGGGCAGCCAGCAGTGATTTGCAACGGCTGCCCGTGCCAGACGGACGACGACAGACGATGACAGACGACGAGGCGATGGGAGACGAGCGACGAGCGAAGGTCGAGGAGCGAGCAGGCGCAGACGGAGTCATCGCGCGCCTCCTTGTCGCTTCGCCGTGGCAATCAGCACGACGGGTGTATGTACATGGAAAGGGATTGTGTGTATATATGTGTGTGTGTGGGTGTGTGTATATATGTGGGTGGGTAGTTGACGCACCTTCTTCGGCGGCTGTATCGCAATCAGATCTTTGGGCGGTATGGAGATGTGGTGTGGCCGGCTGTCCTTCTCCCCCTTCATGGACCTGCGGAACTGGGCCACCAGCATTAGCACATGCGCGGACGTGACTCGAGGCGCGGGCGCGGGGGCTGCAGGCGGCAAACGGCAAGGCAAACGCAGAGGCAAACGCAAACACAAAGGCAAACGCAAAGGGCGGCCGCTCACCTTCATCGTGGACGTCTGGCAGGGCGAGCAACGGCGACAATGGAGAGGGGGGAAAGGTGAGGGCGCGCGCAGGGCGTCGTCGTTCTTGTTTGGTGAGGAGGAAAATGTGAGGTGAGATTGGGGGGAGGAAGACTATGTCGGGCCCCCTCAAGTTGCTGATCTTCGGTGGTGGAAGGGCAGCAGCTTCGATGGCACCGAGAGATTGGGGTGCGTGTGCGGGGAGGCTGTCTTTGGTCGCCGCGGGCTGCTGATGCGCTGTTGGCTGGCTGGATGGATGCGCCGGCTTATCCAACGAAGCTTCTGGGGCGTGCGCTTGGGGCAGTTGGCGTTGGGCGGGTAGGCGGGTGGGCGTGAAGCAAGGTAGGTAGAGGTAGAGGTTATGTATGGTGGATGGGAAAGAGAGAGAGAGAGAGAGTGAGAGAGAGAGAGAGAGAGAGAGAGAGAGAGTGTGTGTGTGTGTGTGAGTGAGAGAGAGGGAGGGAGGAGGAATAGAAAGAGGAGAAAAAGAGAGACAGAGAGACAAGAGAGAGAGAGAGAGAGAGAGTAGCTTGGCTACGTAGAGTAGAGTAAGGCAGCCCTGTAGGTATTCATCCGTATCTTGGACAATACCCCGTCATCATCCTTCCTACCCAACTGACTACAATACCTTACTACTCCATACTACCACCACCCGTCATGCTCAGCGTCAGCGTAGGTGGCTTCCATGGTAGCGTAGGTAGGCTGGTGCCGTACCCTCTTTCCATCTACCTATATGGCATCACACAACAAGTCTTGGCCTGCTGTTTCCCCAACCCTGGACGGCCTCTCCTCCGTCCTTTTTCTCTCCAGGTTCCCTCTGCCCTGGATGAGATCCGACTCGTAGACTCGTCATCTGCCCCCAGTGCAGTGTCCCAATGGCCCCAGAGCGCAAGGCGGCGGCGGCGAATGGCGACCCCGCGGCCGCCACTCCTTTGTCTTGCCGCGAATTCCTTGTGTGGGTTGGATTGTGTGACGAGACGGGGCAGACGGGCGTCGGCGTCCAGCTAGGAATGTGCTCTGCTCTACCCCATGTTCTGCACGGCTGTTGTGGGAAAGAAAGAAACGCGCAAAACACATGCATACTCTAGCCAACGATGCCACAGCCACCTCGTCGGCGCGGCTGCAACGCCCACGGTCCACGGTCGACCCCATCATCCCACCCCAACCGACGACCCATCAACGCCACCCATTATGCCTTTTGCCCTTTGCAGCCAATCACACAGACCAGACTTGGGCAAAAAGAACCAGAGCCAACATTGAACATGGGTACAAGCCATGGGAGATGCTGGCTACAAACGACAAACAAACTCACAACTCACCTACAACCTAGCTAGCTCACAGGTATGCTAGGGCATTATACCTACTCTACTCTACCTACCTCCCCTGTACACACACCCTCTACAACTACTCACCTACCTGCCTACCAATGCCGCACACATGAACAATAATATAAGAATCATACTGATACTAAGAATACTAGTAGTAGAAGTAGTAGTGGTAGTAGTAAATTCAACTTGACCCAAAACACACTCGACCACTTCATGGCCACGGCTTGGAAGCCCCCCTCCGTCTTCCATGCACTTTTGCACCTGTACCCTGTAGCCCTTTTGCTGACCCCATCCATTGCCCTTGGAATCCTCAATGCCATGTAGTCCAAAAAGCGGGCATAGCAAAGCCAATCACAGCCCTACACTCTCCTTGCACCACACCTTCAAGTAGCCCCAGACCACTGCGCCTCACAACAAAGAATTTATTCTGCTTGAAAGAGTACCAGTCGGCGTCCAGACAATGAACCGCCAACCCCACAGATCTTGCATCGTCGCTCCAACTTCAATCTCCAACTCTCGTCCAGTCGAACCAGTACCTCGCATTCGACCCGCTGCGACCTCGGTTTGCACAACCCTCGCCTCTGTCCTGCCCTCATGCTCGCCACTGTACCATCTCACCATCAACCACAAACCACCACTTTCTTTCGTCTCCTCTTGTCTCCAGATGATCCACTGATAACCAAGCTTGTATCCAAACTCTCACATGTCTTGCTGATTCACCGCAAAACTAGAGAAAACACGTAATCGAGTCCATCAGAATGACACCTGCAACGTTTCATGTGCCTATACTGACTAGAAACTTCACATCATCCAACCGAAAGCGCCCGTCCTTTGTATGTCAGGCCATCAATCGGGACAGCCAAATGCCGAATCCTGTCATCCCGCTGCACGAAACGGCGCCTGGCGAAGTGTGTCATGCCGACGTGTTCGCATCGCATCAAATACTAGCTCACATCTGAAAAGATCCAAGGCGGGGGAAGCTACAATCAATTGTGACAATACAACAACGCGTCGCCGTGTCACAAAGGGGCTCATATCTGGCCCTTGATATCTACTTTGCTGAAGGCTGCAGCACGAAGACTTTCGAAGTGAGACGCCGCCTCTCGGACCTTGACGCGAGCTGGGTTGCCGTCTTTTTGTTCGATGATGTTTTGGGCACCATGGCATTCGATGAACTCACGGCACGTCTCATCGCTTTCGAACCCAAGTTCGTCAGTGAGGAAACGAAGAGCTACATTGGAATACCTGCATCCGGTTAGCGCCAGCGTGGAGGAGATGGGAAATGGATGGCCGGACGTACCCTCTACAGATATTAGCAAGGGCATTGAGGCGTTCACGCTCGATAAACATGTCCATGAGATAGCCGCCCATGTTCTGGGCTTCGAGATAGAGTCTAAAGAACTTATGGTAGTTGCCAAGCGCAAGGGAAGAACGAACGTCTAGAGCATGTTTGATCCATTCATGGGATTTGTCTGCGTCGGTTAATTCTGCCAACATGTCGTTCATGTCGGTCTTGTTGCACGTGTAAACAAAATAGAGAATGCGATACGCCTTGAACTCGGCTGGATTTCCTCCCAGCTGCTGCGCATACAGCGCCTTGAGTTGCGTCTGGCACTGGTTATACTCACCCAGGTCGCCCTTCTCCAAGGATATCCGCGCATGGATCTCGTACACTTTGACTGTAAAGGCGTTCTTGATGTGCTGGACCGTGAGATCCTGGCGGAGAGACTTGAATTGGTTGCAAATGTAGTTGTAATTCTTCTCCGCTTTCCACTTCCTCGTGAGCATGGCCAGAGTCTTTTCAAGCACATGGAGAGGCCGAACAGTCTCGGCTTTCGGTGGCGCAGTCAAACGAAAGTAGCTCTTTTCAAGACTCTGGTTCGTGCCAATGACTGGCCCACTTGGCATCTCATCATCGCCCTTGGAACCCCATGGCGGAGAAGATTTACGGCTGCCATTTCCGAGATTGAAGCGCTGGCGTCGTTTCTCCAGCTCGGCCTGATCGAACTTACTGGTGGCGTCTGGAAGAACAGTCTTCTTCTGGCGCTTTTCGCTGGGACCGTCGGCATAAGTCATACGAGATTCTAGGTTAGTTTTACGCCATGGAGGAACAGAAGCCTGTGCCTGCTGCGCCTGCAGCTCGTCCGCACCTTGAGACTTGCGCTTCTTAGACGACGGTGTAGTGGGGTTAGCTTGTCCGGATGGGTCATGTGAAAACGCAGGGTGGGATCCATTGGCAAAGCCATTAGCAGATGCAGTGGCAAGCGCAGCATGTCTTCGCTCCTCGCGAAGCAGTTCTTGGGGGAGAGGATATGATGGCCAGTGAACTTCATCGTGTGCATTTCGTTCAGCATAGTAGCTGATCGTGTCTTTGAGCTTTGCCTGCATCTCTGCGCTAGAGATGCCAGGTATGGCGTTGGCAGGATCGAAGGCACGGCGAACGTACTCGCGCACAGCCGGCGGCCACTCGACCTTTTTCCCCTTGGTTGCCCCGTTACCCGTCTCTGACTGCGATGATGTGTCAGCCTGGCGTTGATGCCTGGGGTAGTGACTGAGCCCTACTGAAGCAGGTACGGGTTGCAAAGAGGTCCGAGGGGCGACTGTGTTGTAGGCAGGCTGCAAGGGCCGCGACCACGCGACGGTGGTGGTGGGCAGAGACATGACCAGTTTTGGCCAACAAGCACTGACAAGCTGAAGATGACTAGGAGGTGAGTATGTTCTACGCGAGATGGGTAACAGGGAGAAGCGTCTAGGCACTGGTGTGTGTACGCGAGCGGGGCTGGAAATCTAAAGGTCCAAATCGCGGTTGTGCGGTGTGAAGAGGAGAGAGGGACAGGGTGGGAGAGGGAGAGTGGATGGATTTGGACGCCAGAACAAATGAGGCGGGCAACGGACGGGGCTGTCCGACTGCCTTGGCGCTGAGCTAGTCCCGAAGCGCGCTAGTCCGTTGACGGCATATGACGATGGCCCGGTGCCGCATGTGCGTCCAAGACATCGGCCTCGGGTCAGGGAGGAATGCAAGAAACGGCCCTGACACTACGACGACCGACGACGACGACGACGACGAATTCACTTGCACATGGTCTGAATGTTCCTACACCAGCTTGACCTCACTACCGCACTGCGCCCGTCGCTCTTGCCGGAGGAGACGTTGCTGTTTGTCCAAGACGCCGTTGGGCTGTACGAGGGGTATGCGCATGCGACTTGGCCTACCTATCGAATTGCTTACTGAAGGCTCCAACCATAGCAAGCTCAAGATACCGCACTATCAAAATGGCCAGGCATACCTGACCTCGCACCGCGTGTGCTACGTCGACCACAATGAGCCGCGCAAGAACTCGGTCGCCATCCTCTTGAAGGATGTCGAGAAGCCAGAATTCTATGTACGCCCCGTCGAAACGTCGCCTGCTCGTAGCGGTACTGGCAAGACAGGCAATGCCAACCATGACTGACTCTTGGACAGGCTGGCTTCCTCAAATCCTCGGCTAAAATCACCCTCTTCCCGAAACCTTTGAAGCAGCTCAGCCGTGGCGTCTCTACATCCCCCCACGGTCTTTCCTCCACGACCCCTCCACGGCACAGTAGCCCTGCACCAGCACCTCCTCCAACCAGTGCCACATGGGTGTGCCCTATCTGCTCCTTCTCTAACCCGGTCCCTGTCAATTTCGACCCTGCCTTAGCTTCTCGAACACCCATACCGCCATGTCTAGCCTGCGGCATCAACCCGCCAACAGTGCATGTTGTAAAGGCAGCGATAGCGGCTATGTCCAATAGATCTGCGCCAGGTCCACTCCCAAAGGACCATACGAATGATGCTCCGGCTTCTTCAAATCCTGGGGGTGCAACCCTCTCATGTCCTAGATGCACATTCCAGAACCATCCTTCATTGTCGCATTGCGAAATATGTGGTGCCTCCTTGACAACCGCAATAGACAAGCGGCTTGGTCTTGTCCAGGATCCTGCAAGACCGCCATCGCCTGGCCCAGTCTTGACATCACCCGTGCAGTCCGAAACGGCCCAGTGCATAAAGCTCTCCTTTCGCGGTGGTGGAGAAAAGATATTTTTTGAGCGTCTGAAAAATGCTCTGGTGCAACGCAAGTGGCTTCTTCAAAGCGCGCCGCCTATCCCGAAGCCTCGACCTTCCTCTGGCTTCTCCGACGACCGCAACTCGTCCAGGTCTGGCAAAACATCAGTAGAAGTCGAACAACCTCGAGTTGTGGGCATAGCAGGCCTGGAGCGGAGAGGACTGGAGCAGAGACAGAACAACGAGGCCATGATTGGCGGCGCCTTCGAGGATCTCGAAGCCCTCATGACCTCTGCAAAAGAGATTATTGCATTGGCGGAGCAGTTCGCATCTCAAGCAAATCTGGGAACCAATGGCAATTCGGAGGCTAATGCACTTGCATCCCAATCTGCATCTGCACTTGGACTTGTAACTACGAAAGATATGCTTGGATCAGGGTCAGGATCGGAGTCGCTTTACATATCGGAACTCTCAAGGAATCTGGCTGAGTGGCTTACCGACGATACACGTGGAGTATTGAAAAAAGAGGGAGGGATCATGACACTCGTCGACCTTTGGGCTGTGTTCAACCGCGCAAGAGGAGGTGTCGAATTAGTCAGCCCTGCAGATTTTGAAAAGGCCGCCTGTATGTGGGATAGCTTGAAACTACCTGTCCGTCTTCGAAAGTTCAAGAGTGGTCTACTGGTAGTGCAGGGTCGCGATCGAACCGACGAGAAGACAATCGCTAGTTTGTTATGCTGGCTCAAGGGGTTTCATGAAGACCTGCTCAATGAAGATGCAACATGGGACTGGAAAAGCTTCGGGAGAGGGGTCACAGCGCAAGAGACTGCAGAAAGATTTGGTTGGAGTGTTGGCGTCGCTACAGAAGAACTCGAGATGGCTGAAGAAGCGGGCGCACTTTGTCGTGAACAGGGCATTGATGGGCTTCGCTTCTGGGAGAATTGGATTATAAACATGCCTAATACCAACCCTGTTTCTACGTTTCTCGTGTAGTAGAGCAATTACATGCATTATCTTGAAGATGTTAGAGTCTTATAGTCTTATTAATCGAGGAAAGGCTAGATCTGAAGTTACTCTATAGTTAATTAATCCTATTTATCATAGGCAATTACTTCCTAAGCTAGCCTACTATATTGCTACTATAACTCTACAGTTAGTATACTATTACATCGGTAATCTTTATAAGCTGAACATCTATTTTAGCCTATATATTTTCCTGTATTCTAAGCCTATATATCTTTCAAATACTTCTAAGCAAAGGCTTTCACTTGTAACGACGCAGGTAGGTAGGAACGTCCGAAAGTGGTCCGATACGATCCAAAGGCATATAGGAGTGCGCGTCTGAATAGAGATTGAACGAATTGATTCCTAGACCTTGCCACCGGCTGAATCCACTAGCCCCCACACTAACCCCCACACCCACCGACAGCCCCCACTAACCCCGCATAGGCAGACAGCAAGCATGCATGTACCACCCTAGATCATGTGTTAAATCTATAGACAAATAGGGACAAGCAACTCAAATATCATACCTTTCGATTCCTAGCATTTATTTGTATCAGGAGAATACCATGTACTCTCGTATCTCCATGAAGTTGTATTGAATAGGATTTTGCCTTTATCATCGAAATCATTGTTTTGCCATTCGCGGAATCGCCAGGCAGTGATTGTGCACCGGTAGGTAATACAGGACTCAACATCAGGCGGAGAATATGTTCGCTCTAATTCGCCGCTGATTTCTGCACCAAGGGCGCCGTTGACTCGACTGTTGTGCTGGAGATAGGTTTGTGTCATATTGACTTCGCAATCCTCCTTGAGTCGCTCCTTGAGGAAGTCTGCCCTCCCCTCGTTGCAATTTCTCCACGAGTTCGTGTACCGGAAATATCTTTTCTTGCAGGCAAGACCAGGTGCAAATAGAATGAAGATTGTGGTAAGCCACAGCGTAAGCAATGATTGACGCATGATGGCGGAGAGGATAGTCTCGTTTATGTAGAAGAATCAAAGTTTTGTAGATGGAATTCGTTGTGAGATTGATGGGTAGTCATCTGCTTTCATCGCAGGCTTTATATAGGCTTTGTTTGACTGTTCAGGTTTGAAGATGTCGCTTAAGTTACCTTGCGTGAAAAGCTACAAGGGATACGTCCATCTTCACCAAGGAAACTAAATCTCCCGCCAAGATATTGCTGTATTATGTTTCAATGTACACATCGTAATAGTGGTGTTCTATTATAGTCGTGGCTCGAGCTCATTCTTGATCATCCGGGGTCATACCGGTACAGGGTAGATACCGAGTGCCAAAAGCCTTTCGTCCACGCACGGCATGTTATCTTTCCACTTGATCCATACACTGCAGCAAAATGGCCTCCTGAATCGTGCTATGTGACTATTTAGAGGGGTTAGTAGGTTGTGCGAAAGTCCGGCGCACGGTATTTCTGCAGCTTTTTTAGTTTAAACGGGCCTTTAATAAATCGGATGCTACGCCAGTGTTTTACCAGTATACGTATCTAGTCTGTGCGCAGTCTAAGCCTGCACAAACATACTGTGCGTACTGTTAGGAATGTCAAGCGGGGTCTGTACAGGGCATAGAAGGTACCGGTAGCAGTACCATGATTCTCAACTACCCTTGCCGGTCATGCGTCATGCCTAGGGAACAGGCCCCTTGTGAAGGCTTCTAGCTTACCAAATATCTATGATTATTTTTTGTCAAGTCTTGAGTGTTCAGGTATATCTATAACACAAGTACCGCATTGAATTCTTTCCTTCACCCGTGCTTTTATATCAACTCTTGACTTGTACAGCTATTATACCTTCGTTGACGATTCATCATCATTACCACCACCATCATCATCATCATGAAGGCTTTCATTTCAATGTTGACTCTTTTTTTGGTCACCTATCTTCCAGCCATTGACGCCTGCCGTCAAAAGAGAATTGAGTTCATAAAAGCGAAGCCTTGCGCGGAAGATTACGAACTCATTGAGAAACAATGCCTCAATATAACAACGGAACTGCGCAAGTATGGTGAAAGTATTGGGAGAGTCTATGGTTCCACTATCGAGTATACGCCCGCTTGCCAAGATTGTCAGGGAGCAAACACAACTTCTTGTAGTTGTACCATCACGGCATGGCGGTTCAGAGAATGGATGCACGAGCCCCCAATCGATCGACGACCAAAATTGACAAATGGTTGGGACTATGTTGACAAGAACAATGGCCAACGCGGCTGGGTCGACCTTGTAGGTACTCGCTCAGGATATCTTCATTAACATCGTACTGATCATGGGTAGAACATAGAAGGCAATGTCAAGTGTGACTAAACATTCGACTCCGCTGTCACGCGTCAGTTCTTTGCGTCGATTGACAGAGGAGGAATGCAAACAACTTTTTTGGATTAAATAGATGGTAAATTTACTGTCTGTCGTTAAGAAAAAGCTGCGGGCACTCCATACACCTCTTTTGTAGCTGTTAGAATAGGAAATTGAAATGAGAGGCATGTTAAGAGTGGACATGAATTTGAGGTGACTTGCGCCCAGAGGTAAACCCGTTGTTCGTAGTGACGCTCTTAGTTGGCAACTTGCATGTTCATGATTCTATGTCGGTGCGCGCCCTATTGCTTGAAAAAGTTTGTCCCATTTTTCTTTCCTGGAAGTCATGAATACAAGGAGTCCGTCGTGGTTGATACTGCGATATGCATTTGATAGTAGTCATTTTCACCTAGAACCACCTCGAACGTTCATTACCGGTATTCGTGTTATACAGGTACTAGTGTGAAAAACAATTAACAATATATGCGCAATCCATTTCGGCATGAAACTACGGTAGACACCGGTACCTATGAGCTACAGTAGCAGGGATTCTACCGGTACCGGCCTGATTGTATGCACCCCACCCCCCACAGAGCCAGCTATCTTGAAATGGAACGATCTAAGGATAGCCTTGTTAGTGCGTCATTACATGAAACTACGCTAGAGTAGGCTATCGGATGGTACCTACTTTTGGTGTCGCAACACTTGCACATGTTGATTGTGCACGAGACCGAGAGGAAACCATGCACGAAGAAGGCTATAAACGATACCGCATAGACATGCAATGGTTTTTGTTGCGAGTCATGACTTATACAACCCTCCAGTATATATAGGAAGAACTCAACATACACCTATCTCAATACTTCAGCATCAGACCAATTACTCAGATTCCACCTTCATCATGAAATTCCTTGCCCAGATCTTTTTCTTCGCTCATTTATCTGGACTTGCCTGGTCCTGCACTCAGTATGGAATTGGCTATGCCTCCAGGGCAAACGAAACAGCTTGCGAAACCAGCGCCCCCAAATATCTGAACTATTGCAGAGATCTTGCGTTCGAATACAACGAATACAGCTTGAAGAATATGGTTCGTCTTGGTGGCACTATAGCAGCACATACCAACTGCGACCCTTGCAACCATCCACAGCCACGGTGCTACTGCGAAGTCGGGTTCTGGCGTTACAAAGAGTGGCTTGGAACCGACGTCCCCAAACTGAACCATACCCACCTGGTATACAATGAGGAATCACCTATGAGACGACTCTCAGGAAAAACAGTCAAATGCGACACATGAACGAAACCCGGCGACAAATATGACATGGGGGTGAGCAATTAGTTGGAAGGGGCTGTGGCTCTCTTAGCAAGAATATCAACTTTGCTAGGACCGAAGTGGCTTGCCAATTGTACTTTGATAGGGAAAAAGAAATCGAAATCTATTGTTGCTAGAGTTTTCAATTCTGTGTGTTATCATTACTCTTGATGCATACCTCTTGAAAGTAGGTGCGATGTGAGAGCGGATAAGAGGCACATTGCGTCTGTATAGTTTTCCTGTTGAAGCTGTATTCCTGGCCATGGGTAAAATAGATTCCGGAGCGGACCATTAGAGATGCTTAAGACGTGATGACGACAGAAATATACTATCGTTCTGTGAACGAGACTATGGGCTCTGCGCAATATGCCGTCAAGTTGCCAACTGAGGCTGTTCGTCACATACGTAACATAGTCCCTCGTACCAAGACCATATCTACGAACTATGTTACTCATAGATACGCTGCTTGAGTCTAAGAACCTATTGTTAGCGGCAGAGTTGCCATAATACTACCACTCGTGTAATCTTGCAAAATGATAGAAATATTGCATAACTAGTTGGACAGGTTTAGTAACGTTCGGAAAAGGAAGATAATGTTAGTACATGCGAACATCCGCTTACCTATGTCATGACGCAAGACCCACTACCTACTCAGTCAAGATGAGATGCGAGTGCCCCCCACGCCCCGGCGCCCAACCCCAGTGTGGGGAAAGGAAAATACCATAATCTTACATGCAGACCTCCGCAATCAATGCAGGTCACCTATATCAGGTAATTCCATGATGAGGCCCATGTGCAAGGATCGTAGGTATTAGGAGTGTTCATGAGTCAAGCTCGGAATCATGGCATACCTACCGGTACCGTACTCACGGTCCAGGGAGCCAACATCGGTGTGGGGTAAGCTAAGACAATTACATTTAAGGAAATTTTGCCTTACCCACAGTACTTAGATGCTTTGACCACTCCTGCTAAACCCCACATCTGTTATTACGGACATTACATAGTGGTGTCATGGGATGCTCGTTAGTCAATGTGAGACTACCGGCGGTAGGCATGAGGTGTCGCACGAGCATATCTTTATTTAGAATAAAACTGGCTGCTTTGGAGAAAGATGCATCACAACAAGATCACCGATGCGAAAGGTGGCTCTAGCGCCAGCAAAAAAAACAAACAGAATGTGGGTATTATGCTATTATTTAAATGGCCACAATTTAGCAGTACAACTTTGCGCGTGCAGCATAGTATGCAAGCCTTTGTGTGGGGTTTGTGTGGATCATTCATATCTCGTCTTTTCGACGGCGCTAGTGGTAAGGTATGATATAAGAATGAGTATTGTAGTTTGAAGTGGTTAGGATGAGGTATTTTAATTTATGCTGGAATTCGCTAGGGTAGTAGATATAAATAGTGTTACGTAGTTTACCGGTACCCAACTGCTGGGCAGCTTGATGCTTGGCACCCCCATTTTGCAAGGATGATGCACTACCTAAACTCTACACGTGGAATCTCCTTTAATCAATTCAAACGTTTCCTAAGTTTCATCTTCACCCCGTTATCTGAGAGTAGTCCAGCGAATGAGGTTTGCCACATGTTTAAATGCTATAGAGCAATGGTTACGTACCTCTGCGGGGAAAACAATATACCTATGGTGTAGTAACCCCACTGCTTAGATCCACCTCCACAGTTCAATCAATGGGATGATCCTTATCTCTTTCTGCTTATGCCCCAAAAAACCTCGTCTATATCCGGCTTATCAATACTCATGCAAGTCATGCCAGTGGCTCAAAAGGTTCGGCCCGACTACTCTAGCAGCAATAACCAACACTCACCAATTTTCAGTCGTACAGATTAAGATTGACAAGATGGCAGCGTTACAAGAGCTTATGGTAGTCTTGTGAGCATAATGTACGGTTAGATGCCTAACATATGTAGACAAGTAGAAAGTTGGTACAACATTATAAACCTCAACGCCAATCAGCATAAAGAAACAAGCACGTAGGGTAGCTGAAACGAACCATGTTATCTCAGGAGCACTAAAATCACTCATACTTAGTAGTAAGAGCTTTCGCTGCCAATATTTCGTGTACCTTCTTGCCACGATACCCCCTGTTTATTATTGATAGTTAAAATGACACCGATGAAATCCCCCCCAGAGGTTGCACTGACCTCTTCCCCCGTGGGAACATCCTGAACAATGTTTGTGCTCAGTCACAAAATAGGATCCAGCGATACCATGCATGAAGCATGTCGCGCGAGTGTGTGACTACTATCGATTGGGCATGATCCACCCTCTAGCGGGTCAAGTCTGGTCGAGGAACGTGCTACAGGACTGTCAAGGTGGAGAATCCTTAGTACGATCAGCTAGTGGCTTTAAAGGTGGTATTTACCAATGAAGGTGTCGCGAGCTTTGGCAGTATATAAAGCGATCTCGATTCTCAGATGAAATTGCACCATTATCCCACTACTCCCTTCAGAATGCACATCTCCAATATTCTTCTTACTTTATTGACCTTGGCAGGAAGTAGCTACGCTTCTCCAGTTGGGGGAGATTTCGATGTTCCCTCCTTGCAAGACCCTAGTTCTCCTGTCCAGGTCCGAACTGTCGAAATTCCAGGGTTAAAAAATTACAAGACTATCAAGATGGATGACGGCGGTGAAATTTTTGATCTTCCACCATAGGGCATTGATATACCTGCGGATATCTACAACAAGTTGACTGGAAGGGCCCCCGAGTACGTCAGTCGTTCTTAACACAGAGTTGACTATTGACTCACATTTCTCAGTCCTTTACAAAAGCGCGATTACGATATATGTAAGGGTAAAACTCACCGAGTCTGGGAATTATAAGATGCCGACTTCACCAATGCTACGGGAGATCGGACGGTCATGTCGTCTGTCATCTGCAATGGTGGTACTATTTCAAAAACTTTCACAAGGGGCTGGTCATGGTCTGTTGGAGGATCGGTCGCACCTGGCTATAACTTCGTAAGTGGTCAAAGATAATTGATGATCAGTAGGAATGCTGATACTTGCTAGAACCCAACATACCTAATCGGCATCAGTGTTACCGCCTCGTACACCTGGAACGAGGCAAAGGCGACTGCTTACAATATAGCCTGTGAGGAGAACTTTCCATGCGTAGCCACATTCACGCCATGGTTTGGCTATATTAAGGGGCGTGCGAAGTTTTCGGATTTAACCGACGGTACCAATAAACTCTGTCACTCAGGTTATGCAGGCAATGTCGAAATTAAGGTCCCCCTCGTCCGAGATTGCGGTTCAGGCGAATGTGGCGCTGAGGGTGAGTCACCTGATATACATGCCTACCAATAAAAGCTTACCAAGTATACAGGAGCTTGGTCTCATTGCTACTACCTAGGAAACATAGCACGCGAACTATGTCCTGGTGACCTTGGTCCTCCTCCCACTACTAAAGAGTGTCCAAAGAACCTCTACCCAGGTGCAAAACCTACGTAGACTATACCTTGTGCAGATCTTCTTTGATAAATTGGAAGGTTAGATTGTATTTACGGATTCAACTTATATCTCCATGATTTATTCTCAACTATACTGCCCAGTCATGTATCTTGTGTCCCCTATTGCAGCCTATTTACCTAACATACTGGTACCTCCTCAACGATTTTTTTCCAACCACCTGTGATGGTCATGGCTTATTCTACTCAATAACGTTCTATTCGTGAAAGCCTAGACGCAAGCTCTATGGGGATGAATGTCTCTGAGGATCTGAGTAGTCGTGACATTGAGTGTAGCTCTTTGGGTATCACGATACTAGAATGACAAGGGTTCATCCTCACAAGGGTATCAAGATAACCAGTCTAATCAAATTTATTGCTTTTATGGAAGCGAGAAGGTTGAATAAAACGAGCGATAGGAGTACCTATGTGTTACGATACAACTGTTGTATCGAGTAGTGCTCACTGTTTAGTTTGATCAGTATGCACTACGGTACAAAATTGTTTATAGTAGAATGGTACGCTAGGGGTTTACTATATAGGTGTAAACTGCCCTTATGTATACCTATAAATAGGTTTAAAGTAGTAGTTTACTTTTATTAAAGTAGTAGTTTACTTTTATTAAAGTAGTAGTTTACTTTTATTAAAGTAGTAGTTTACTTTTATTAAAGTAGTAGTTTACTTTTATTAAAGTAGTAGTTTACTTTTATAGTAGGGGTTTAAATTAAGTATAAAAAGTAGTTTTATTTCTATAATAAGCTATAATACCTAACTAAGACTAAAAAGGGTAGAGAAGATTAGCTTTACGCTATACGCATATATAACATAATAATAAGTTATAATATTTTTACTAATAGGAGGTGGTGATAATAGAGGTGGTGATAGAGGTGGTGGTAGAGGTGGTGGTAGAGGTAGCGGTAGAGGTGGTGAA